ACATGTTTATTATCAGCGTATAGATACTCATGATCATTATACAGAGCGACATGTTTATTAGCGTATAGACACTCAGTATTAATATACAGAGCGACGTGTTTGTTATCAGTGTATAGATACTCGGTATCATTATACAGAGCGACATGTTTATTATCAGCGTATACATACTCTGTATTATTATACAGATCCACATGTTTATTATCAGCGTATAGATACTCAGTATTATTATACAGAGCAACATGTTTATTATCAGTGTATAGATACTCTGTATTACTATTAATAGCTACATGTTTATCAGCGTATAGATACTCAGTATTATTATACAGAGCGATATGTTTATTATCAGCGTATAGACACTCAGTATTATTATACAGAACAACATATTTATTATCAGCGTATAGATACTCAGATTATTATACAGAGCGACATGTTTATTATCAGCGTGTAGATACTCAGTATTATTATACAGAGAAACATGTTTATTATCAGCGTATAGATGCTCAGTATTATTATATAGAGCGACATGTTTATTATCAGTGTATAGATACTCAGTATTATACAGAGCGACATGTTTATTATCAGTGTATAGATACTCAGTATTATTACACAAAGCGACATGTTTATTATCAGCGTATATATGCTCAGTATTATTATACAGAGCGACATGTTTATTATCAGCGTATAGATACTCAGTATTATTATACAGAGCGACATGTTTATTATCATTGTATAGATACTCAGTATTATTATACAGAGCGACATGTTTATTATCAGCACATAGATACTCAGTATTATTATACAGAGTGACATGTTTATTATCAGCGTATAGATACTCAGTATTATTATACAGAGCAACATTTTTTATCAGCGTATAGATACTCAGTATTATTATACAGAGCGACATGTTTATTATCAGTGTATAGATACTCAGTATTATTATACAGAGCAACATATTTATTATCAGTGTATAGATACTCAGGATCATTATACAGAGCGACATGTTTATTATTAGCGTATGGGTACTCGGCATCATTATAGAGAGCGACATGTTTATTATCAGCGTATAGATACTCATGATCATTATACAGAGCGACATGTTTATTAGCGTATAGACACTCAGTATTAATATACAGAGCGACGTGTTTGTTATCAGTGTATAGATACTCGGTATCATTATACAGATCCACATGTTTATTATCAGCGTATAGATACTCAGTATTATTATACAGAGCAACATGTTTATTATCAGTGTATAGATACTCTGTATTACTATTAATAGCTACATGTTTATCAGCGTATAGATACTCAGTATTATTATACAGAGCGATATGTTTATTATCAGCGTATAGACACTCAGTATTATTATACAGAACAACATATTTATTATCAGCGTATAGATACTCAGTATTACTATAAAGAGCAACATGTTTATTATCAGTGTATAGATGCTCTGTATTATTATACAGAGCAACATGTTTATTATCCATGTATAGATACTCAGTATTATTATACAGAGCGACATGTTTATTATCAGCGTATAGACACTCAGTATTATTATACAGAGCGATATGTTTATTATCAGCGTATAGATGCTCAGTATTATTATACAGAGCGACATGTTTATTATCAGCGTATAGATACTCAGTATTATACAGAGTGACATGTTTATTATCAGTTTATAGATTCTCAGTATTATTATATAGAGCAACATGTATATTATCATTGTATAGATACTCAGTATTATTATATACAGAGCTTACATGTTTATTATCAGCTTATAGATACTCAGTATTATTATACAGAGTGACATGTCGCTATCCCATATAGCTACCTCTCAGTATTATTAAGTACAGAGCTTCTACATGTTTATTATCATGAGTAGACACTCAGTATTATTATACAGATCCACATGTTTATTATCAGCGTATAGATACTCAGTATTATTATACAGAGCAACATGTTTATTATCAGTGTATAGATACTCTGTATTACTATTAATAGCTACATGTTTATCAGCGTATAGATACTCAGTATTATTATACAGAGCGATATGTTTATTATCAGCGTATAGACACTCAGTATTATTATACAGAGCTACATGTTTATTATCAGCATATAGATACTCAGTATTATTATACAGAGCGACATGTTTATTATCAGCGTATATATACTCAGTATTATTATACAGAGCGACATGTTTATTATCAGCGTATAGATTCTCAGTATTATTATACAGTCTTGTGACAACATTATTATGTGGATACTTTGTTGTATACCAGCAGTCCCCTCTAGGGGAGCTTTGCACAATGCACAGTTTGTCCCTAACCAGGTTCTGTAGTAAGTTTGCAAGGCATGCTGGGATGGATACACCCCCTAGATTTGCTCTCTCTTCCCAGTGTGTACATGGAGTACGGCCATGACGGGTGTATGTTACAGCAGGAATGTGTATATCAACAAAGGGATCGAACATAATATGTGACTTGTGATCAATAAATCCTGGCTGATTAATAGACAGTATGTTATTGTAAGTCAGCTATCATCAAACATAACAGGTACTCGATATCATTATACAGAGCAACATGTTTATTATCAATGTATAGATACTCATGATTATTATACAGAGCGACATGTTTATTATCAGCGTATAGATACTCAGTATTATTATACAGAGCGACATGTTTATTATCAGCATATAGATACTCAGTATTATTATACAGAGCAACATGTTTATTATCCGCGTATAGATACTTGGTATTATTATACAGACTAGTGACTACATTATTATGTAGATACTGTGGTGTATACCAGCAGTCCCCTCTAGGGAAGCTTTGCACAATGCACAGTTTTTCCCTAACCAGCACCTGTAGTAAGTGTGCAAGGCATGCTGGGATGGATACACCCCCTAGATTTGCTCTCTCTTCCCAGTGTGTGTATGGAGTTCGGTCATGTTGGGTGTATGTTACAGCAGGAATGTGTATATCAACAAAGGAATCGAACATAATATGTGACTTGTGATCCATAAATCCTGGCTGATTAATAGACGGTATGTTATTGTAAGTCAGCTATCATCAAACATAACAGGTACTCGGTATCATTATACAGAGAGACATGCTTATTATCAGCGTATAGATACTCAGTATTATTATACAGAGCGACATGTTTATTATCAGCGTATAGATACTCAGTATTATTATACAGAGCGACATGTTTATTATCAGCGTATAGATTCTCAGTATTATTATACAGAGTGACATGTTTATTATCAGCGTATAGATACTCCGTATTATTATACAGAGCGACATGTTTATTATCAGCGTATAGATACTCCGTATTATTATAGAGAGACATGTTTATTATCAGTGTATAGATACTCACTATTATTATACAGAGCGACATGTTTATTATCAGTGTATAGATACTCAGTATTATTATACAGAGCGACATGTTTATTAATTGTGTATAGATACTCAGTATTATTATACAGAGCGACATGTTTATTATCAGTGTATAGATACTCAGTATTATTATACAGAGAGATATGTTTATCAGTGTATAGATACTCCGTATTAATATACAGAGTGACATGTTTATTATCAGCGTATAGATACTCAGTATTATTATACAGAGATACATGTTTATTATCAATGTATAGATACTCAGTATTAATATACAGAGAGACATGTGTATTATCAGTGTATAGATACTCAGTATTATTATACAGAGAGATATGTTTATCAGTGTATAGATACTCAGTATTATTATACAGAGCGTTATACGTTTATTATCACTGTATAGACACTCATTATTATTATTATACAGAGCAACATGTATATTAGTGTGTAGATACTCAGTATTATTATACAAAGCAACATGTTTATTATCGGTGTATAGATACTCATTATTATTATACAGAGCGACATGCTTATTATCAGTGTATAGATACTCAGTGTAACGGCATCCCGGGTATAGAAGGGGTTAAAGCCGTTTAGGATATTCCCTTCCCGAATATAAAAGCAGCTACTGAACACTCCGATCAGCCGAATAAGAAAGCATACAAGTCATCCCCCCCCAAGTACGAGACAAGGCTCTGTATTGAGGGTCAAGCAGGAATCTCGATTAATGTGGGCTACCTACCCGGCTTTTTTGCAGGTCTTCCACCAGGTGGACACTCCCATAGGGACCTGGTGGTAAACTATGACAAAGATGTTACAATAACCAATCACAAGGTTGCAGCCATAACCACTCTCCTCTCTATCCTGAAGATAATTGGGAAGTAACTTGAAAAATATTTTTATGAACTTTAAATGTATTCAACGTGTTGTAGGAATGTAGAAATATTGTAAGTTATTATTCTAAGCATATCCAGACATCGAGGGATCCTATCCAGATACATTACCATCATAATGTAATTTATACACATACTGTAATTTACACACATATGGTTTTAAGTCAAGAATGATGGATGGAGACTTGTGGATCCTGCCTATAATAACCTTTGACCTAGCCTTGTAAGCCTGAATTCCTGTGAAGGTTCACATTTCTATAGGCAATCATTCATTCCATCATGTAATTAGAAGTCTCAAGAAGGTCTTTGTGTGTAACTTACCAAAACCTAACGTATGGCTTTAATCATAGATATCGAATAATACTAAGTTACCACCTATTTTTTCTTAGATAACCAATTATTGTTAAGCAGGCAAACCTTATGTCATTTTGTATACGCCCTATGTAATTGAATTTTAAACTTATAAAAATCCATTGCAGTTAGAATATTTTTACCAATACTTTTAACATCAAGCTTGGATAAGATCTAGAAGTGAATATACATTGTCTATTGGTCCATATGATTTTAAACCAGACTTTTGTTGTTACCGGATGATGTGTATATTGTAATAAATATACGGTTTTAACTGCAAGATACACTGATTCGATTTGTTCAGAAAACTGGAAAACAAATATCTCACGGAATGCAAATTTCCTACATTTAATGGTGGAGAATGCGGGCAGCTTGGATTTAAGTCAGAAGGCAACTTTGAGTTAAGTCTGAATTATTACTGACTTAATATTTAAGTGTTCTGCTACAAACTACAAGAAGACAAGAAAATCGCTGAAGAAAAGTTGAAAGTGTTCTCTGAAGAAAAGCTGTAGTACCCGGCTTGAAACAGGAGAAAAACAAGAGACTAATTGACACAGCAGGATTGCATCCCAAAGATTCTTTGTTTAAACATCCCAGGTCTGATGCGAAGACTGAGGTGAAACAGGGTGAGAAAGTCGTTCGAACGCGGCAGATGTTTATGTTCAGTACTGAAGCAAGAATTTGAAGATAAATAATTGAGATGGACAATCCGGGTCCTTTTTATCCACACTTTATCAAGTAATTTGTGACGACGTGCAGATCGAAGATTGCATTTCGGAGGATTCTCAAGAATAACTACATATTCCAGAAAGTATTCTTCTATCAGAAAGTGGCCATATCTGTGGAACCAGAGTACTTAATGGGTATGTGTCTTGTTTTAAATCATATGTAAAAAGTGCTCTCATATATATATTGTTTGTTAAACAAAGTGTTTTAACTGTTTAAGTTAATTATGGAGTGGCTGCAAAGGATTGCTGCCAGATCTAATAGAGATCTTTCTGTAAAAGGTGTTAACCCTGAAAGTATTTGGGATGACTGTTTATTGAAATTGATAGATGGATTAAGTGAGATAGAGCACAGCAATGTATTTAAAAAGGAAAGTCAAAAAGTTGCATTACTGGCAAAGAGCTTTTTGGAAACTAATGATGCAATGAATGAATGGTGTCAACTTAAAAAGACCAGTAATTGTTATGTATGTAGTACAACAAAACAAAAAAGGGATGTTTTGTTAAAACAACTGAAAAATGTATGTGTTGTCACAAGGACTAGTTATTTCCCTACCCCCCCCCAGCAAAACTGTGAAATCTCCACAAAAGCTGTTAACAGAAGGGAGATTGCCCCCAAGGCTCTCTTTTGATAGTGACTTGGAATCCACGTTAACTGAAACAAAAACTCAAATAGAAAATTCTCGGCAATTGTTGAAAAGTTTTAGTAGGGATCAAGAAAATGAAGATATTAATATAATGAAAGAAATGCTTAGGAACCAGACTGATTTGTTAGATAGAACCCATAAAACCCTGTCTCACATGTCTAAAGAATTAGACATAAATGTTACTAATTTTGACAATTTGCAGAGACAGATTATTAATCTGGGTAGTGCTACAGATATTTTGTGGAAAGCTACAAATCAGAAAGATTTGGATTTTACTTTGAAAGAGGAACGTGAAAATGAAATAGCTCAAAGGTTAAGTTGTGAAAACGGGCAGGCGAGAAGTGAAATAGGAAAGGGTCAGTTGGATATTCTCAAATTAGCTAAATTGATTAAGGATTTGCCTAAATATGATGAAAAGAGAGGACCTTTTTACAATATGAGTGTGTTTGAAGGTGAAATGAATAAAAGACAATTTGATGATGTGGTAGCCACAAGAGGTCTTTTGATCTGGCTGCCAACTTCATTAAGTGAATGGGTTAAAGTTAAACTCATTGATGTGTTGGAAGAGAAGTCAAGTGAAAAGCCCAGAGTTGAGTTGGAGGAATTGTTTCCAAACAATACACAGAGATTGCTAATGGTGGTACAGTGTGCAACTGGTGTGGAGAATTTTCAATTTTCTACTCTTGATTCATTTAAAATGGAGAAAAATGATGATATATGTGTTTGTGCTAATTTGTGGAATAAGGCATGGAATTTGATTACTGATACAGAACCATCTGCTATGTCTAAAGAACAACATAAGCAGAGTGTTACTGAATTTGTCTCTAGAATAGCAGGGTTGCCAAATGAGATAAAATTAAGAGCTTTTGATTCACCCACAGTTGATTGTGCTGCTACGGAAATAATGAAATCTTTGCAATTGTTGCAAAAGAAAAACACAGAAACAGCTAAGATTTTTTCTTTCACAGACACACTTTTCTCTAGGGATACTTCAGCAGGTCTGGCCCCTATTAACTATGTGTCTTGTGAAGAAGGTAGAGGAAGATATGAAAATAATAATAGAAATGGTCATTTTAGAGGGAGGTCTATGTATAAACCACAAAATTACCAGGGTATTAGAAATTATTCGGCCCCATCCCAAGATAGATATTATAGGGTTAGTCAGAATAGTCCTATGATATGCTATAAATGCAACCAAGAAGGTCATGTTAGGAGATATTGTCCCAAAAATGAAGAACAATCTTACACAGTGAAAGGGAGAGAAAATGGCATTGTGCCAGGCTATAAGAATCTACAGAGAGTGGCAGCTGTAGAAACCGAAAATACATCTTCAAACCCCCCTCAAATATCAAATCCATATGAAGAGTGTAGACGGATGTTAAATGCCATTGAAATGAAGGTGGAAGCAGTCACAAGTCCACAAGTGAATTCTGCTTACCACACCAATAAATAGGGATGTGTAACCCCTAGTTGTTCTCTGGTCTATCTCACTGATATTACTCTGGGTGAAGATGGGCGGCCATATATTTATGGAACACTAAAGGGGAATATAACAGAGTTTTTAGTAGACACAGGAGCTGCAGTGTCTTTAACCAACAAAAGATTGCCTTTAAAAATTGAAGCACCAACAATTTCCCTTCTAAGTTTTAATGGAGCACATGCCCATGCAACTCTATCCACTGATAATGACATTGAATTTGAAGGAGGTAAAATAAATTGTGACTTATGGGTCGACCTCTCTTCCCACTGTACTATTTTGGGGATGGATGTTATCAATGGAAAAAAGTTGTATGTGGATTTATTGAATTTGGTTTTGTGGCAAGCTCCAGGTGAGAGCAAATCAGGTGGAGTGGTTAGACCTAATGATTTAGGATGGTATAGTCATGTCATGGCTGTAAAGCAGGGTGAAGTGTCACCTTCTATACAAGAAGATGATGATTTTGTAACCTATCTTAAAGAAAAATACCCCACAGTATGGTCTAAATCTAAACAAGATTGTGGGAGAATGAATTTACAAGTTGTCATTGAAGGACCAGACCCTCCTGCAGTAAAACAATATAAAATTCCAAAAGAATCAGAAGAAGGTGTGAGTCAAGTGATGGCATTGGTATCTCAAGGAGTGCTGAGAGTGGGTAATTCCAAATGTAATTCCCCCATTTGGCCAATAATTAAGCCAGATGGCTCTTATCGGTTAATTGTGGACATGCGAGTGGTGAATAAGTATACCCCACCAGCAGCCCATATAGTGGCCTCCTCACCAGATATCATGGCACAAATAGACGGCAATGCTAAGTATTTTTCTGTTCTGGATATAGCCAATGGGTTTTTCTCAATACCAGTACATCCAGATAGTCAGTATCGTTTTGCTTTTACCTTTAAAAATCATCAATATCTGTTCCAGGTGCTGCCACAGGGCTTCCACTCCTCGCCAGCTTATTTTCATAAAGCACTGGCTCAAGTATTGGAACCCCTGGGGTATGGGAACAAGATTTTGCAATATGTTGATGATCTGTTGGTTCAAACAGTAGCAAGGGAAGAGCATGAGCAGATACTGTGTGATATTTGTCAAGCACTGGCAGATAATGGGTTAAAACTGAACACATTCAAAGTGCAGATCTTGAAAGAAAGCGTGGCTTTCTTAGGAGTAAATATAGATCCAGCAGGTAAAACACCACGAACAGCAAGGGTTAAAGCGTTACAGCAATTGCCAAGGCCAATGACAGTGTCTGATCTAAGGAAATTTTTAGGTTTGGTAAATTTTAGCAGAGAATTCATCTATGATATGGCAGGGATAGCAAAACCCCTGTACAATATGCTAAAAGATAGTGCTAATACAGATAAGCTACTCTGGACAGAGGAAGCTGGAAAGAGTTGGAACCTGTTAATAGATGTTCTTACACAAGCGCCTGTGTTAGCTGCTCCCATTGAAACAGTACTGTAACGGAGCTCCCTGTACTCCGACCGAGTACCCTCCGTTGATGGATGCTCCTAGCGCTTCCTGAGGACTCCAAGCACTGCAGCAGACACCACAACCACCGCAGACTCCGCAACCGCCGTATCTTGACTGGAGTCTCGCCGTCTTCCTTCCAACCTGAATCAGCTTCTGTCCTCCAGGACTGTGTGGGAAAAAACTCTTCCTTCCACCCTGTATGAACCTCCAGCATCCAGGACTGTGTGGTGAAGACCCCTCCTCCAAGGAGAGTGTATCAGGAACAAGCTCTTAAAAGAGCTAAGTGACTCAAGCTCAGGGGAGCATGCAGAGCATAGCAATCCCCAGTGTGATTATACCAGCTCCCTCCAATAACGAGACAAGGCTACGTTTAGAGGGATCAAGAAGAACTGTCAAAACCTTTATTTCCCTTGGGACCAGCCAATAGGGTCACCACAGTAACATTGTTGTGAAACCTCAATAAAATCACAAACAGTCAAACCATATCAAGCAACACACAGTGACTTATCACAATACAATGGCACATTTTTAAAGGGTTGGGGGAAGACAATATTTAACAGTAAATATCTCACCTGCCTGCAGAATTAGCAATATGCAAATCTACCCGAATATGCAAATGAACCAGTCTTGCAATTCAGGTAGTGCATATTGCTGTTGCTACCAACAGAGGGCACTAGACCAGCTCCATAGCCAAACCCACCTAGTTGGTAGCAAACCTCAGCAATACAAGAGAGCAGGCAATACATTACACAGTACATACACACACACACTATAAACAATTACATTACACACACCCTGCACCTATAATAGGTACAGGGTGACTAAAACATAAGATAAATAAAGCAGCCTACATAAATAGTCTGTCTGAAGGTATACTAGGGGCTTTAAAGCCAGATACATGAAAGAGTCATAGTCACAGGGGAGGAGGCTGGCAAGTAGGCCTCTCCAGGACCAAGTGGCGAAGGGCACTTAGTCACAAGTACCATATATTGTTCAATGTTACGCAGGTGTCTCTTCATTAATTGCAGTTTTGATGCAAAGGCAACATGGCTCCTTACGAATACTGGGATATTTTTTTAAAATCATGTCTCCAGTGAAAAGGGGAATGTTTTCCTGTGTAAAACAGCTCATGGCTGTATGTTGGGCTTTAGAAGCAACACAACACATTGTAGGATTTGGACAGCTAATTTTACAAACCCCCCACACACCTGTAAAACTGTTACAAAATTGTTCTGATTTAGGAGTACATAGCCAGAAGGTAGCTCATTGGATATTGAAGTTACAAGATAAACCACTCAAGGTAGAAAGCAGTAAGAGATATGTTATTCCTGAGTTGATAGAGATAAGTGGAACACCTCATGATTGTCAGAAGGAATTAGAAATTGAATCTAAATCTCCTTTTGAGAAACAAGCAATACAAGGGGCTCCTTGTTTGTATGTGGATGGAACGAGATTTTATGCTGATGGATCACATCATACAGGTTATGCCATTTATGATGATCATAAAAAAGAAATGCAGAGATATAAATTGCCAGGCCATATGTCTGCTCAGAGAGCTGAGTTAGAGGCTGTAAGGAAAGCTCTTGAAATAACAGCATATGACCCAGTGAATATAATCAGTGACAGCAGCTATGTAGTTAAAGCTTTAACACTTCACCTCCCAATATGGAGAAAACGGGGGATGGTAGATTCTCAGGATAAAGCTTTAAAACATGCAGGTATTTTGACAGAAAAAAAAGGTTTAACTTGTGCTGTTGTGAAAGTTCAAGCACATCAAAACAGGAAAAGTGGGGATGAAATGGCAGAAGGAAACAGACTTGTAGATCAGTGAACAAAGGAAGCTGCTTTAATAGGAGAGTTGCAATACTCAGAAAATGTAATGATTGCAACTGTGAGTAAAAGACCAATATCAAATCCCCTACAGGATCTGAAAGAAAATCAGAGTAAAGATGTAGCTTTCAGTAGAGAAACAATGGATTTAGATACTGAAACTGGCTTGTACGGGATTAAACATGAGGAAACACAAACGTTTGTACCATTTGTACCTAGTGATTTATTGCAGGAGTTGATTGTATTCAATCATCGTACACTGGGGCATTTGGGTACAGAAAAACTGTTTAAGGTCCTGCAAAATAAATGTTATCATCCTAATTTGAAACAATGGTGTACAAATATAGTGCAGGAGTGTCTCATATGTGCTCAATTTAATCCCAGACCTAAAGGTCAGAAACCAAAATTGCAGAGAGTACCTTTGGCAAAAGGACCATGGGACTCTATACAAATTGATTTTATCGGACCATTACCTATAGCTCCAGGAGGACTAAAGTACGCATTGGTAATTGTTGATATATTCTCCAAATGGGTGGATTGTATAGCTCTTACCAATTGTACAGCGTTAACAACATGTAAGGCGCTGTGGAAATATGTATTTTCTGTATGGGGTTTTCCCAGAATCATTGAATCTGACAATGGTCCACACTTCATTGGAGAAGTACTTAAAGAGATGTGTAAATTGTTGGGGATCCAACAAAGATTTCATGTCCCATATCATCCACAGTCGGCTGGCATAGTGTAAAGAATGAATAGAACACTGAAATCTAGATTGAAAAAAATGCTTGAAGATAAGGGGAGTAGTTGGGTAACACACTTACCAGGAGTTTTAATGTCTATTCGTGCAACTCCAAACTCCAAAACGCAAGTGTCACCTCATGAGTTAATGACAGGCAGAACCATGCCAATTACTTTCCCCAATGAACCTTTTGTTCCAAGTACTTTCAAAGTTGCTGCAGAACATGCTGAATGGTTAAAAGTATTACAAGAACAGCTGCAGTCAGTTTTGAAGTTTGCTGCTTTGAATATGGCCCCTTCTGGTAAACAATGGGTTAAAGATGTAACTCAGGGGAATTATGCAGATAAGTTTAAACCAGGATACAAAGTGATGGTAAAATCATTTAGAACACCAGGTCCCTGGCAGGCAGGTTGGGAAGGACCTTATGTTATTCTAAAGAAATTAGGACAAACTGTCTTACAGGTTCAAAGAGCAAAAGTTGGTAGGAAATGTAACAAAGCAATTCTTGTGCATATTGATCAATGTAAACTCACACATGTATAAGAATAGTAAACTGCCATCTGTTTTTCATTACAGAACCAATAATGTTTGTTCATGGACAAAGACTGTTTAATTTTAAAAAGGACAATTTGTTTGGACTTTCAAAAGACACTATGGACAAAAAGACTGCTCTCATGAATGCGATTGGTGAGGACATTACTTCATGGACTAAATCAAACCGATTGGGTTTTCTTGATAATGTAACCTTTATAAAATTGCACGGCATCATACTGTTTTTAATCATGATGATGTTAGGTACAATCAATGCCCAAGGTACAGGTACTCCAGATTGTGATATTAGAGATACTTTTTCTAAATGTACAGCATTCCCCTATGAGTGAAAAGTGAAATATTGTAAGACTCCTGATGTTGATTATTGTGGATGCATTAATGCAGACACATCTGAGGATGCAATATCCGGTGCGCTCATATTCCATGATAACCAAGAACCATGTATGACATATCTATCAGTTGACGGACAAATTGATTTAATCATTAATATTACCAAGGATCGGACATATATAATGCAAAATAATACGGAGAGTAGGTGTGTGGTACCTTACCCTTACTATGTTTAATGTGAGAAGTGTTAACGATGATGGGTTAATTTGCTACATGTACTTAATAGATACACTTGTTAATCCTTACACAAATGCTAAAGTAAAAGTACTCGAACAAACACAAGACAGCTCATTTACCTATCAAAACCCAGCTAAATGTGCAGGCCAAGTCACTATGTGGCCTTGGCATCCAAAATCTAGAAAACCTTCATGGTTATGGACACCTATTTTTGTTATGAGAAATATAATAAATAGGAATTGGAACACTGTTTCGCTTTCATATGCATTCACAATCACGACATTTCATGATAATTGGACTCCAGAACAAAGAATAACAGATGATTGTAATCTTGTAGAAGAGGAAGGAAAAGATCCCATTAGAATATACAAAGATGATGATCACAAAGTCTTATTTGGGGCTTCATTTAGTATATACACATATTCATTGAACATGTCAGAATGGGACATTACACGTACATTCCCACAGTGTCAGGAATATACAGTAGGAATACAACAAGATTTCTATTATTGGTTAAAACAAGACACCACTTTCTCAAGACCAGTGAATACACGAAGAAAACGTGAGTGGTATAACACAGTATTAGGTGGTTTAGGTGTAGGAGCAAGTGTGCTAAATGGAGTAAATATAGAATCGTTAGCAGCTAGAATGAGTACACTAGCAGCTTCAGGTAGCAAATCACAGGATGCTTCATTGTTATTATCTAAGATACAAATGCAAACAGTTATCAACAACTACAGAACAGACATTTCCATTATTAAGAATCTCATTAATAAAAAGTATAATATCAGTGTAGGAATGGAAAAGATTGCAAGTGATACCTCTTTAGCCTTAGGATGTATAGCTTTACAAATGGACATCAATACTAATGCAAAAATATTCCTGCAAGCTCTTTTTAACCATCAATGGCCTTATGAAGTCCCTCTTGAAGTGCCTAAAATAAGTTTTTACTATAGAGCTTTTTGGCATACACAATGGTTAGGATGTCTGGAAGACACAATAGAAAATTGTGCTTTTGCTATTTTTCTCCCTACTAGAGGAGTTAATTACAACAGATTCAAGTATATTGATTTGGGTAAAATAGTGAATTCTAAATGGATAAAAATGGATAATAAGCAAAATGATAAAATCCTAGTGGGAGTAAAAACTGTAGAGTACATGCTGAATACAGAAAATTGTTTGTTAAACGATGGTGATTATGTCTGCCCTTATGGTGTTAATGTTCTAGAAGAGGTATCATGGTGCTGGGAGAATAATGACACATGTCAAATGAAATTAAATAAAATACCAATTCAACCAGCATGGACATACAATAAAGGCATGATATGTTGGCATCAAATAGAAGGAAAAACAGAAATACATGAGAAAAATTGTTCTGAGACAGTAAGCTTAGCACCGGGTAGTTATTGCACAAAGAGACCTGCTTTGTCAGTAACCACCAAGGATATAAGGGGTAAATATTATAATATAATACCACCCATATTAAAAAGGACTGATTCTATTATGAAATATGATCAACGTACTTTATATAATGTAAACATAGGTTACGGAGTTGATTTCTATAAGCAGTTAAAGAACAATGAAGAGTTAATACAAGTAATTGATAAAGCTGCAACTGGAGTACATTTACATACAGTGCAAGGTATGATTAAAAGCATTAAACATGATTATATCGAAGAAACCACATCCTGGTGGCAACGGTGGTTTGGGGGACAAAAGACAGGATTAGTTATGGGTATGACACACTTCATAACTCATCCTTTGGTAATTTTGATAATTATTATTATGGTTTTATTCTTCTTTAGTTGGTATATGTTTAAAAGAATCAATTGTTTACTGTCTCAACTGATGGATGTGGAATACAGATGTAAATTCCTGACCACAAAATTAAAGTTTTACAAGGAAATGGAATAAATTATGATGCATTATATTTACATAAAAAGCATCAAAGGGGAACTTGAAAAATATTTTTATGAACTTTAAATGTATTCAACGTGTTGTAGGAATGTAGAAATATTGTAAGTTATTATTCTAAGCATATCCAGACATCGAGGGCCCCTACCCAGATACATTACCATCATAATATAATTTATACACATACTGTAATTTACACACATATGGTTTTAAGTCAAGAATGATGGATGGAGACTTGTGGATCTGTACTGTACTGGATAAGGGGATTATGATGCTGGCTGAGGGGAGGAGATGTGTGGGAGGTTACCAGGACAGGATTGGCTACTGTATTAATGATTGTAAATCCCTCCCTTGCATGGGAGCATGCTTTATAAGGAGACTGTGGATTAAAAGCTTTCAGTTCTGCTCCTGAAACTGTGTGTCGTCCAGTTATTGGGATTGCTGTTGGGATATTGCTGTATTTTACCTGCTGGAAACCTTGCCTGTGGATTTACTATTTACTTTTTCCTGAGCCTCACTTGGATTATAAGCGGAGATAACCTGGGGAACATTGCATCTCCGCTACAGTACTAACCACGGTATTAGGAAGCATTACTCTTTCCCTTTCTCCCTCTATTATACACCTATGCTCACTAGGATTTGTAGGTATCACTTTATTATAGTTGTCTAACCTTTTCCTATGCCAGTTTTAGATCTCCTTCTTGGGAGATTTTTTTCTTTTTTTAGTTTATTAGCATACCTGGGTACAAGCCTTCGGTGGGGCTGGCACCACCATCTAAACACATTTCCTCGTTTCTTCCACTCATACCGCTTTTTCCATCTTTGAAGGGGTTTGGCAAAACAAGGAAATAGTCCTCTACTCGTAACAGGGATTAAACTGATAAGAATAGTAGTACTACTCACCTGGGGAACATTGTTTTTTAGGGCCCCCACCCACCGCTCAGGGGTGGTGGCCATGGGGAGGGCAATAGCTCCCCCCCTATTGGTATTTAGGGCCCCCACCCGCCACTCAGGGGTGAGGACAATAGGCCCCCCCTTTATTAGTATTTAGGGCCCCCACCCAGCACTCAGGGGTGGGGGCCAGGGGGGAGGACATTAGGTCCCCCCCTTATTAGTATTTAGGGCCCCCACCCGCCGCTCAGGGGTGGGGGCCAGGGGGGAGGACCTTAGGTCCCCCCCCCCTTATACCAATTTAGGGCCCCCACCCGCCGCTCGGGGGTGGGGGCCAGGGGGGAGGACATTAGGTCCCCCCCTTATTAGTATTTAGGTGAAAAATATTTTTATGAACTTTAAATGTATTCAACGTGTTGTAGGAATGTAGAAATATTGTAAGTTATTATTCTAAGCATATCAGGGGTGGGGGCCGGGGGGAGGGCAATAGGTCCCCCCCCTATTGGTATTTAGGGCCCCCACCCACCACTCAGGGGTGAGGACAATAGGCCCCCCTTTATTAGTATTTAGGGCCCCCACCCAGCGCTCAGGGGTGGGGGCCAGGGGGGAGGACATTAGGTCCCCCCCCCCTTATTAGTATTTAGGTGAAAAATATTTTTATGAACTTTAAATGTATTCAACGTGTTGTAGGAATGTAGAAATATTGTAAGTTATTATTCTAAGCATATCCAGACATCGAGGGCCCCTACCCAGATACATTACCATCATAATGTAATTTATACACATACTGTAATTTACACACATATGGTTTTAAGTCCAGAATGATGGATGGAGACTTGTGGATCCTGCCTATAATAACCTTTGACCTAGCCTTGTAAGCCTGAATTCCTGTGAAGGTTCACATTTCTATAGGCAATCATTCATTCCATCATGTAATTAGAAGTCTCAAGAAGGTCTTTGTGTGTAACTTACCAAAACATCATAACGTATGGCTTTAATCATAGATATCGAATAATACTAAGTTACCACCTATTTTTTCTTAGATAACCAATTATTGTTAAGCAGGCAAACCTTATGTCATTCTGTATACGCCCTATGCAATTGAATTTTAAACTTATAAAAATCCATTGCAGTTAGAATATTTTTACCAATACTTTTAACATCAAGGTTGGATAAGATCTAGAAGTGAATATACATTGTCTATTGGTCCATATGATTTTAAACCAGACTTTTGTTGTTACCGGATGATGTGTATATTGTAATAAATATACGGTTTTAACTGCAAGATACTCTGATTCGATTTGTTCAGAAAACTGGAAAACAAATATCTCACGGAATGCAAATTTCCTACATAACTCAATTATCTCCGAGGATAGAGTCTAACCTCCATTTTATACAGTATAATAAAAATATATAACTTTAAAACTCCCGAACAGAATCCCCAGATAGTTCGGATCTTAGCGCACCATTTTACCGAATAGCGCTCAGATCCCATACACACAGTTCAATCGCCATGGAGCCAAAGTCTTTCACATAGTCTTTTCGTTATATGAATGGGCTCCATGGGATAGCTATCTGAGGTAGCTCTGTTTGTATGGCCAAAGTCCCAAACAGCCTGACGTTCATATGAGCCAGGGGCAGAAAGGAGGAGGTCGGTGACTTCATCGGTGTTCGCATGGAAATAGTAGCTGTTTTCAGTTCTATGCTTTCGTCGACGAACACCGCTGACCGCGTTCGACTAAACAAGATGGCCGCCGCCTCGTGTTCGGCTATACGAACGGTGGCCACCCAGTGTCGACAATTAAGTTGCGTTTAACTGCAGCTTCTGGGCAGTAAATGAGGGGCACACTCCCCCTGTAGGTGGTCCGGTTGTTTAGCGATTTACCGAACAATGTTGTAGAAAGGCGTGAACAAGCCTTTCTACAGGGAAAAATAGCTGTTTAATCCAGGGACCATAATCCTGAGGGAGTAGGCGAGCAACCAGGCATCTCCAGGACCCAGTGGTGAGGTTACTTTCGTCATATTTCTCCCCTTTCCACAGAAGACTAACAAGGTACCTGACCTTCTGTCGGTTAGTGCCTTGTTTAGTCAAGCATCCCACCCACAAAGAATAATCAGCAGAGTAGCCCACCCACAATAATTGGCTACTGCACCTGGGAAATCTGCTAGCCAGTCCTTGTCCAGGGAGTCCACCAATGCTGGGTTGGGCACTTGTATTTCTGGTCGCTGGGTTGCTTTGTGCCTTGGAGTGTGGGTTGCTTTGTGGACAGAGACCAGCGGTACTCTGCCCTGGTGCCAGCGCTCCAGCTGAGTGGCCTGGTGCGCAGTCCTTCCCTATAACAATGGGACTTGGGGGGCAGAGGCCAACTGCTCTCTGCCCGGATGCCAGCTTTGCTGCTGGGGTCACCTGTAGGGGCTATTGCCCTGGGCAAGGGAGTAGGGGGGGGCAGGGGGCAGCGACGCTCTGCCCTGATGCCAGCTCTTCCGCTGGTGCCTCCTGGATGCAACTTGCCTGGGGAGGGGGGACAAAGCTTACCTCCCTCCCCTGGTTTTCCTGGGGTGGTAGCTGGGGATCTGGACAGGCCGTCCAGCATCCCTGTAGTTCGGGCACAGACCCCTCGGGGAGCAGAAGAGCAACCAGGCCTCTCCAGGACCCAGTGACGAGGTTACTTTCGCCACATTCAGTAATATTATACAGAGTGACATGTTTATTATCAGCGCATAGATACTCAGTATCATTATACAGAGCGATATGTTTATCAGCGTATAGATTCTCCGTACTATTATACAGAGCGGCTTCAGTTGTGTTCGCATGAAAATAGTGTCTGTTTTTAGTTACATGGAATCGTTGACGAACAGCGCTGTGCGTTCGTATGTCCAAGATGGCCACTGCCACGTGTTCGCTAATACGAACAAACCACCCAGCCGACCATTCAACAATAGGAAGTGTCTGCGGTTAACCACAACGTTCTAATGAGGCCAAGAGGTTAACAAACAGCACACTTCCCTGCTGGGTGGCCGGCCGTTATGCAATTCTTTCGGCAACGGGAATAAAGCATAGGAACCGGACGGACAGGGCAATACAATACATGAACAAACAGACAAACCGGCATAAAATAAAAGTAATTCAAAGACCAAGACGTCTTTCACACTCAGTAATATTATACAGTGATATGTTTATTATCAGTGTATAGATTCTCAGTATTACTATACAAGCGACGTGTTTATGATCAGTGTATTATACTCAGCATTAGTATACAGAGCAACAGGTTTATTACCATTGTATAGATACTCAGTATCATTATACAGAGCGATATTTATTATCACTGTATAGATACTTATTATTATACAGAGCGACATGTTTATTATTAGTATATAGATACTCAGTACTATTATACAGAGTGATATGTTTATTAGTGTATAGATAATCAGTATTATTATACAGTGCAACATGTTTATTACCAGCGTACGCAGGTATTATTAACCCCTTAAGGACACAGCTTCAAAATATCGTCTTACTCTTAAGGACTCAAACCATCTTTCATTTATTGCACCAACACTTATTATATACCTGTAGAAACAGATGTGGGAAATTTAGGCGTTTATATAATTATCTATTTTGATATGTTTAAGGCCGAAGGCCTGTATTTGTTGGAGGAGTTAACGTTCCTATATAAATGCTACTCCCCCTTTCCTACCTTGCCGTATACGCATGCTGCTCATCCTGATTTTGTCTCTCTGTGACAGCTCCTGCCTCTCCGTCAGCAGAAACTTCCTGCCAGCCACACTTCCGGTTTCCCGTCATCTTTCCGCTTCCCGCCCGTTTGTGCAAGCTCACGAACCGACAAACGAACATTCAGGTAATCGGTGGGAATAGCCTCGTTTGGCTATTCCCGCCATACGACACTTTTCAAGTTATGTCCTATATTTCATACGCTCAAACTCACGGACACTCGAAACTCACGAACCCTCAATACCTGCTATACCAGGTTGTTCGTCAATTCATACTACATGTCAATCTGTGCTTTACTGTCCTTTCGGCTACGTGTGAGATAGGTAGGTCACTTTGTGTATGCACAGAGCTTCCTGTGCCAATTGTATGCTTGCTTTGAATGAACTGACTTGTAACTAAGGTAACATGTGATATTTAGAATACACCAGTACCAGATGTTGCCTTTTCTGCCATGAATTGCCATAAACAATGGGTATTGGGAATACAACTGTAACCGCAGGTGGTTCCCTTATTTACCATTATAATGTCTTAAAGCATAGAACTTAGTAGGGCTAACCATACAGATATCTTAGTAATAATTTTATATAGTTAGTAAGAGATCCTCTATTTAACATATATAAATAATTGAGAATACAATATAAAATACGGATTGTCTTGGAAGCAATAGTTTTGTCTCTTAGATATTTATTATATAAAAATATAAATATAGACATATAAAATCCATTATAGCAGAGTTTATAAGATGAAATTAAATGCTTGCAAATATCATTAATAGTTTAACATACCCTTCTGAACATGTCATCATGTCAGCCTCTCTGTCATTTTAAGATGGAGCAGTGTCTGTCTCCAAGTCTCTCCTCTGTTTCTTAACATTTAAAAGTACACCTATTTATACCTTAGGTGTCGTCATTCTAGGGTTACCGCAGTTCATGTATGAAAAAGTAACACTTCTTTTACTTTATTCATTTTAGGACCTCCCTTAATTTGGCAAACATACAAGGCCATTACTAAAGGGTGCATACGTCATGGAAATTTTCCTGACTTGGGGAAGTTCCATTAAATTGAGACAAGTCTGAATAGCTTATCTATTAAGGTTACCACAGTGTATTGGGTACTGAAAGAGTCATAGGATAGCATTGAAGCTTGTTTATGCATTATTGTTATTGTAATTCGTCTGGGACAAAACGACGCAAACATATTATGCACTGAGGTTATTGCTTAAAGAAACATCTATGAAAAACAATATGTTCCATTTCTAACACCTTGTCAGTTTGCAATATCTCTTAAAGACAAAGTACACAGTTTAAGAAATACAACATTTCATTCTAAAACTTGTAATATTTGCATTTGCCCATAATACAACTGCATGTGTAACCCCTATGGCCATCTCGATCCCTGGGGCTCAGAGGTCTCCTATGGTAAGCGGCATTTAGCTCTCACATTAAAGCTTCACTGCTCCCCTTGGCAACACATACAACAACTTAGTAGCAAAATGTACACGCTGGCAGAATTCAGACGGTCGACACCGCTGGTCTTACATTATGTCAAGATCCGGTTATTCCTCTTGCCAGTGACCCTTTCCAGAGACAGACTGTTCCGATGTTGAGGTCAATTTCCCATTCTCATAATACATGCTCCCAAGCAGGCTGGCATAATAACCGGTATTGCGATTAAAGTATCAATCTATAGTACACTTATACCGTTAGATATTTTTTAATTTTTTTTCACTGTACCTACGAACGAATCGTATGAGACCTGCATTCAGGTTACATTTCGACAGACTATTTGTTTTTTTTGTTCATTCATATCAATTATGTCTGTATAATTATCCGAAAATATGATCGTTGAAAGGTACCACTTCCATAGTTTCTTTCACATTTGCACCTATTACATTGCAACCTTTATACAGTTGGAATAATTGGGATTAACATAGGCACTGTAGTCTGTGAATTTCAGCATTTTCCTTAGCGATTTTGCAATTTTCCTGTCAGTTTCACTGTTTTAGGCTGCAACCAAACACTGGTGTGATACATTAATAACATGGTTTAAACAGGTCGCCTCGCCTCGACAGGCCACGGCTCCACTCAACTACTCGTCATACGTTACCAACAACTCACCTTTCCAAAATAACGTCATGAACTCCTTTAACACCTTTTCATTCCTTCACCATATTCCCTACATCAAATAATACCACGCTCCACCCGATGTGTTTTTATTGTATACATGCGTATACAATTCTCTGGATATGATTTGTGTTTTTTCTTATTACGTGCATTACGTTATACACAACCACTTCTTCAAATGTTATCCATTTATTTATTGTGGTCCTACATTGTGGGTAAGTCCGTTAGTGTTTAAATTGCCTC